AAATGACTACGATGTCTAGCTCGGTCAAATGGATCTTGAAGGAGCATAAGGGGTCAAAGTTGATGGGGAATGCAGTTCGGGCAGCCTTTTGTGCTACAATATACCACATTTGACATGCTAGGAATGCAAACCGATTTGATGATGCAAACAAGAGTGAAGATGAACTAGTTGCGAAGATTAAACACGTGGTATATAAGATACTCTTCAACTTATACCCGTGTGAGATGATTAAGTTTTGATGAATGGCGTTGGACTACAACTTTTGAAGCCGCGGCATTGTGTGAACCGGGAAGCCGCGACATGGGAGAACCTCTGAAGCCGCGGCATGTGGAGTAACGTGGATGCAACTTGCATCACATTTTCTGGTTTTGATTTTTGGGTTAAAGGAGCATATACCGCAACCTCCTTTAACTATGGCCTGATTTTTTATTTTTGAAGGATCTAGGTGCGTGCACACTTGCAGCACGGATTTTGATTTTGTAAACCTAGGGCATTTGATATTTTATACTTAGGCCCTTTTTTGATTTTGAACTAGATCGAATAAAAACCTCTTCTAACCCCTACGCTAGGTAGGGGTGGGGGGGTTTTAGAAGATCTAGAACCCATGATGTATAGTTTTTTCTTTGGTTGTTAATACAAATTTACATTTCATCCAAAAAAAAAACCAAGAAACTATTAATCAACTTCAACTATAGTATCATACGTCTATTAACCCAACAACCAACCTTGGAATTCATTTTTATGTGAAAACGCAAAGAATAAGAATAATTCATTAGTTCTTGTTCTTTTATTAATTCAATATTTGATTTGCCAACACTTTTATCCATTCCAGATAGAAGTTTTTTTAAAACCATAACTTCATTCGTATTACTATCTCTTATTCACTATCTACTGCCCACTATTACTCTTTGAATTTACTAGATCACACCTATTCCATATTTTTGTTGACTACTTTATCAATATTACCCAACCCCAGTTAGTATTTTAACCACAACACAACTACATCACAACACATAAACAAGAAAACCTACTACACAACACATAAACAAAAAATAAAACATTCCACTTTGCTAAATAACATGTACCCCCGGAATTCCCTTTTCATGGGTACGCCACAGTTACTGCTCAACAATTTGTTCTCCACACTACGTCCATACAATACTATTACTCACCACACACATTGACCCCAACCAAACATATCATTTATTAATTTAAATTGTCAATGGAATTCATGTCGCACGTTCTTCTTATACGCGCATTTATTCTAACAAAATCAATTAGTCACTGAATGAGTACACTTATAATTACTGCTACATATAAATGTTGGAGTTCACAACATAACCAACACACCTAGTCCTAAACATCTTATACCATATGCCTCGGGATCGGATTGTTACAAGTCTTCTGGTTGTGCCCATATTGTCTACATCTCCCACATTTTTGTTTTCTGGAAAACTCCCCAATTGAAGGGATTCTTTTCTTTTTTGGCCTACCAGCAGGTCGCTTGTCTAAGATTGGTGGCTTCACAATGAAGTTCCGAATTTCCGCTGGAACATCGTAATGAGAGATTGAACCCAACGGATGTATTGCTCCACGATATGCTTCCACTCATGCACTAGTGCTGTAATATTTTGAAATGAAGTCATAACAAGATATCCCGCCCCTAAATCGAATTGCGGCTACTGCATGGACACACACAAAGTCTTCCAATTCAAAGTCCTTGCAACTACATACAACTCCGTGTCTCTAAATTTACCACATATGCTCGGCAGTTTTTGTCAATAACCTCAAACGTAAACGTTGTGCTTGGCCTTACCTGAAATAATTTAAACAACAGATTAGTGACTAGAAACATACATTTCCATCCATACTCATACACGTTATCTCTACATGCTCAATCGCTGCAAAACTAAAAATAATTAACACACTCACTATCATTCCCGCTGAATCACTTAACAAATTTCCAAGAACTTCTTCCGCAGCTGTAGACAACTTTCCCTTGTGTTCTCGCGCTGCTTTACTTCTATCATGGAACCAAACTTGCATTTTGGTTCTCAGAAATTCAACCAACATGGCTATGGGGTACTCTCTCGCAGTTCCATCCATTGAATTTAATGTCTCTGCATTGTTCGACGTCACTATGGAGTGCCTACATCTTTTAATCTTGCAACGCGCCCACTTTTCAAGTCCAATTTCTGCCAGGTAATGTCGTATCCTATGATCTTCAGCATCAAGTAATCTCATAAAATACTCCATCTTGCGGTCTGTTGCAGCTCTGGCCGCTGCATTAAAGAACCTAGTCACCCGGTCTTTTCCCCCACCAAACTTGGAAATAATATTTCCAAGTATATGTGAACACAATGGCCATGATCTACACCTGGATATATTTCCTTTACACCTTTTATGAGTCCTTCATTTCTATCAGACACAATGCACATATCCTCTCTCTCACCTATGGCCTCTCTCAATTTCATAAAAAACCACGACCATGTTTCTTTGTTTTCACTATCGCAAAATCCAAATGCAAGTGGGAATATTTGCCTATTAGCATCCATTGCACAAGCAGACAGTACAGTCCCACGGAATTTAGCTTTTAGGTGTGCACCATCCACACTAATGACTGGCCTACACGCTGCCCAACCTTCTTAGCACGCTCCCAGTGACATGAACATTCTCTTAAAGTGACCATTTTCATCAGTATCTAACGAAATCAGTGATCTTGGATTTGTCTTGTCCATCAAATAACAAAGCATTGGAAACTTCTTATATGACTCGCTATCGGTCCCTGTTAGTGATATAAGTGCTTTCTCTTTGCCCCTCCATGCTTTCTTATAGCTCAAATTTAAGCCAAAGGCTCTATTCAAGTCTGAAATAATTGATTTTGGAGGATATGGCTTTCTCGAAGCATCCATGTACTAGTGCTTAATATTTCCCTATTATTGTCGCGCTAGCTTGCCTGTTTCCGCTCATTCGACAGTCAATTGAGCAGTTATGCACCGAATCATACCTGAAGTCAATAAGTTTTAAAACAACTGTAAATGCTAAGTCACATTAACTCCTTAATCTTATGCAAAATATAGTCACGGAAACATACCTGCGGACTTCAAAACATTGACTACCCGATATTCGCACGCCTCGTACAGCCCACTTACAAGACTCCTCAACGCATACAACATGCAATACTCCTGGAGTAGATGTCCTCGTTTGAAACTGAAACTTGTTGTAGAGTGCATACAACTGCAGAGTTTCCTTCAAATGTTCCTTTGTTGGATAAATCCCGTTCAATCTTAACGTATTGTCCATTCCATCTACATTTATTTCACCACCATCTGCAATCCATGAAAGCAATGATCTATTGCCTTCATTTGAATCGTCATATATTCCATCACCGATACATCTTCCTTCTCCAGATTCTAATTCCATTGAAGGATACAACTCCTTACCTTGAGCATTCAAATCAACTTCACTAAGCGCTTCCCTGTTTGTTTCTTCCGCTTGGGAATCCAAAACCGTCTCCCCACCGCTTCTTTCCTTCCTCGTTTGGACAAACAACGGATATGCACTAAAATCCAAATTATCTCTACATTTTATATTCAAATAAAACCTCAAACTCTGATCACTTTCCACCTTAGTTGGGGGAAATGCTTTGTCTATCTGATACGCTATGCAGGTTATTTCCACGGCCTCAGAAACCCCTATAACGGAGCGCACCTCACACAACAAATCATTGTATGATGCATCAATTGCAACTAGCATTCCGTGTGAAGCCTTTGCCATGAATTTATTATCCGAAGTCCATCTACCATCACACAAAACTGTCACCATAATGTGTTCCATTCCTGTGATTTTAAAAGTTTGAACAACAAAGTTTTGTTAAATAACAACATCATGTTTCAATGAACCATTCACTACTAAACAGAGTTTAACAATTGTGAATGTGCCATACATGTCTACATTATCACTGTCATCGTCACGTGTACCACATGTCACTATGCACACACCACATAATGAATAAACGATAAATATTGACCTGAACACGGACTCTCACCACGTCTATGTCACTGGAACCTATGATTTTCAAGCCTTATTTGTAGGTGTTGACATATTACATGTCACTTCTAAAATGAGTTTAGCCGAATGTACTGCACACCACACTATACTATTACAATCTTCCCAAAACAATGTTCAACACCTCACTGACTAACAAAGCAGTCACTGTCACTACAATGTATTCACACTCAATATGCATAAACAAACAGTGTGATTGCGCGCACCACAATTAGTGACCACATACTACCTATATGTAACAAAACAGTCACTGACCACACCTGTCTACCGGACCATCAGTCACTTGCGACTCACACCACCATGCCCACATTCTATGTCAAACTAGTAACGCAATTACTTACATACATACTTCACTCGCATTGATGATGGATGTAGTCACCAAAAGTGACTACATCCCACCTCTACGTGATAGATTCCTAAACACACATGTCAATCCAGTCACTTACCCCGAATACATTTAAACGTAAGTCACTAAACATGGGCACTACATTTAATCCATTTGTACTGTTAAAACCAAAACATCGCCAAGTCATTGAACTACACACCTAATGCCATAGCAGTAACTAAACACGAGTCTCAGGTACTTGTATGACAACTTGCGCATTCGCCTTCTCAGTGATTGCTGCAAGTCCATGTAGTGACCAACTTTCTGGGAATCTTTATCATCCCATTACTCAAAATGGGCACTCCTGGGCTGTTGCAGCTTATGATTTTTCATTTTTGCATTAGTATCTCACTCGCTGGGATTTCGTACACTGGTGGGATTAGTAGAAACAGTGGCAGCCAATTTTACTCCAGGAAACCTTACTCAAAAGAATCATACATCTCTTTAATAAGAAGTATTAGAATCTGTATTCCTGCAAGCAAAATGGGCAGTTAGTATTTTACGCCTATTGCAGCAGAAGAAAACCCACAAACGGCTACAAGTCTACAACAATACAGATTGCCCATCTGGATGGCATGGCTGGCTTAAAAATCACATATAGAAATACAGATCTACAGTACTTTTATATGCGACACCATTAGTTGGAAATTCACATCATCAAGAATACTTAAACAAACACATTGAACCATAAGGAGTTGAAACATATATAGAAAAATAGCAAATTTCATGGGCATACTTAAACTGAAGTTCTTCTAAACAGGGACTTGGTGACTGATTACCCAACCAGAACGACAAGTCCACACAGATTTACATGAACACTATAACACGGCCTTGCGAACCAAGAAGATATTAATACTAGGAGAAATCGGAAATGAAAATTAAAAAAAGACATAAAATCTCGAGATTAAGCCCTCTCTCCGCGAATCCTCCTAGCCAGCTGCATATCCTTAGGCATAATGGTGACCCTCTTGGCATGAATGGCGCAAAGGTTTGTGTCCTCAAAGAGTCCAACTAGGTAGGCCTCGGCCGCCTCCTGGAGAGCCGACACAGCGCTGCTCTGGAACCTCAGATCGGTCTTGAAATCCTGGGCGATTTCCCGAACAAGTCTCTGGAATGGAAGCTTTCGGATCAAAAGCTCTGTGGATTTCTGGTACTTCCGGATCTCCCTCAGGGCGACCGTTCCTGGGCGAAAACGATGGGGCTTCTTCACTCCTCCTGTCGCCGGAGCTGACTTCCTGGCTGCTTTCGTTGCCAGCTGCTTCCGGGGAGCTTTTCCTCCGGTGGACTTACGAGCAGTCTGCTTGGTACGGGCCATTTGAGCGCCTAAAGATTTGAAGTGCTTGTGTAGATTGCGGAATTGCTTTGAAATTGTGGTCTGTTTCTCATACGTTTGGCTCCAACAATTTATAAAGGATGGTTTCGAGTGCGGGAAAGGGTGGGAATTTTGGAGGGGTTTGAAATTTTTGGTTTTCCTGACACGAGTATTATCCGTTGATTAATTTATATTTATCAACGGTGGAGATATGACTGCAGGTCGTGATCCGGATCACGAATGAATGGAAAATCATGGCTTCAATAACGCTTCATCTATTACTTCCGGTCTTGGGCCGTTGCGGGTTGTTCAACTTGTAACGTGTGGCCCGCTTTTTGCATTATCTTTTTCCTTTAGAAATTGCCATGAATAGGATGTTTTTTATTATTTGAATATGAGTATTCTGTCGAGTTTGGAAAAAATGTTATGTTTAATAGCCTAGTAATATCAAATTTGGCAGAAATTTACTCCTATTTAGACAATAAAAAACATTATACTTCTATTTTTGGAATTTAAAAACTTTTTTACTCCTATTTAGGGAATTTACTCTTTTTTCTTTTACATGAACTAGATAGTACCCGGAGTAGTAAAACACACTCATGCCTCGTCAATCCAGTAGATAAAAATGTCTTTTTTATACGTAGTATCAAATATATAAAAAAAATATATATAGAAAGTTGACCCAAATAAAAATAAAATAATTTCAATATAAAAATTGATGGTACCATAGATTCTAGCCATGGCTCAATTACCGAATTATAGATCCAGTCTATAAACGGGATCAAGCCCTCAACGGGACCAAGCCCATAAACGGGATCAATCCCTCAACGAGATCAAGCCCATAAACGGGATCAAGCCCTCGACGGGATTCAGCCCATAAACGGGATTAATATTTACTAGCTGCAAAGCCTGATTAGGAACCGGACCCACGACAGGAACCCACAACCATGTCAGGCTGGACAGCAGACCTCGAGCCTGGGCGGAGTTCTAGTGAGGTCGAGATGTTCCTAGGGCTTACGTGGCAGGCTATCATCCGTGCATAGCTATCTGGCAGCAGGCCGGAATAACTGAAGAACAGGGACTCAAAGAAACAATCATTGTACAACGGTCAGGACGTTACAAGAGTTCTATTCGGACTAGTATGTAATTAATGGCATTTATTGTAGCAGTTTCCTCCTATAATACTAGCTCCTAGAGTCTATAAATACTTCATGTATATTTCTTGTAAAGGGATCAGTCAATCGTTCTTCCGAATAATAATAATATTGTCTTATGTTGTCATAGCTCTCGTAGTTGGATTATACTCCATCATTTGGTGCTCTCGTTGAGAGAACGATCTGCGAAGACGATGGTTGGGTCAATTAGTCACAACCGAATGGGTAGCAATCAAGGCGACGATCGTTTCAATCAAGTCGTGATCGAGGACGAGGGTTCTAGATCACGGCGCAGTGATTTCAAGAGGCGTAATAACAACACTGCAGCTCAGGGTGATTTGAGAAATCATCTCCATGGCGTTGGGAGTTCAAGGCGCACGGCGGTGCGGGCACCACAGTTCCATACGCCAGGCACCGGGAACCTCATCCCCAACGTCGATCCAGCCCAAGCCTTGGCGAGTTTAGCAACATTCCAGAGGGATGTGGAGACTCTGACCACCGTCTTTCAAGGTATTATTCCTGATGTTAATGCAAGACCTCCTTCCCCTCGCCGGGCTCCATCCATGCCCGGAGTAGTAGAACACACTCATGCCTTGTCAATCAAGTAGATAAAAATCTATTTTATATCAAAAATATAAAATAAAAAAATGGAAAGTTGACCCAAATAAAAATAAAATAATTTCAAAATACAAAAATATGACAATAATGTTTATATTCTCAAATATAAGTTAATTGTACCTTCAGTTTTACCCCTACCATAATCTAATAGAAAAAACTTTTATTATTCATGATTAAAAAATATATTTTAATTTATAATAATAATAAATGAAATAAAAACATATATATGTGTATATATATATATATAGAAACTCTAATTTAAAAAAATGAAGTACATAAAATTTCCCATTGTCTCACGCACTTTTTCTCTTGCCTTGTTTGTAGGAGGCGATTGTAAATACAGGTGGTGTTGTGGTCTCGAGGCCACTTCCCACTAAGCATTAAGCATGTAGGAGTTAAAATCCTTTTGTACTTCGGTGTTTAAATACTAAATAGGTTCTATTTAGTACAAACTAGTTATATTCCATCTGTCCACATTTGCATGTAGAGAGGAGATCAAGTACAAACTACTTTTCCGGTGTAAAATGCAAACTAGTTATATTCCATCTGTCCACATTTGCAAAATCAAGAGTTCCGCATATAGCATCCACAATGGTAGCGTGTGGGTTGAAAAACATAGAATGACAACCTTTTAGCCCACTACTATGTCGCGATTAGTGGCATCGACATGTAGCGTGTGAGTTTAAATATATATACCATGTATATATATTTGAGCATAGACGTGTATACATAGATAAGTTATATATATATATATATATATATATATATATATATATATATATATATATATATATATATATATATATATATATTGAAGATAAGCCTTCAAATCACGTAAAAAAAAATTAAGATCCTCAGATGTAGCGCCAATATTGGCATAACTACCAACAGTTTCCTTATACAATCGATAAAATTTCATTGTGCCAATATTTGCTTTAGCACAATTCAACAAAAACTTTTGGTGCTCAATGTTAAGTTTTCTATTCATTTTTAAAAAATGCATCGATGAATCGGAAAACTTAAGGTGGTTATGCCTCTCCGCAAAAAAAGTAATTATGTATTCATTCATGCCTGCAAGCTTATAAACTGCACGTGCTTTGCAATCACACCTATTAGAAACCTTTCATCTTTTTTCTCATCATCATTAACACATACGCCTGGAGTTGGTAAATCTTCAACGTGAGGTTGGTTTTCATTTTCAGATCCACCAGAATCACATGATTCATTTTCAATACTGAACTGATGATCTAAATCAACATTCTTGCAGGACTCACTGGTAGATGTAACTGTCTTAGCTTTAGATACATTTTTGAAGCCCTGTCTATTACACACCATATGTTTCCAAACATTAATGTCGTCACGAGCCCTATGTTGACTGCTTTTGCGTGATTTAAACCCACAAAGTGATGCATATTGTTCATAAAAACGCATACCATCCTCTAAGTTATTGAACAATAAACATTCCAACATGCGGTTTAAAAGCAGGGTTACAATCAGGTGTCCAATACACATGTTAGTCCCAATATCAATCAACAATCATACACACAATATAACGAGTACAGAAGAAACGATGATCCGATTCAATACCAATAAAGATGTCGAAATACAGAATAGGGTATGAATGGCGTTTTTCTCCCTTCTCACTAAAACTGATATGTGCGTTAATGTGTGTGAGGCTTGTGAGAGTCAGGGTTTGCTTAAGTTAGTATCCTTTTATACATAAGGATGTCTAACTTAAGGCTTACAAGTGGGCTAATGGGCTGAAATACATCTGTGTCCCATATTACACATTTAACTAATAACTACACAAATACAAAGATATTTAGATAGATTGGACACCATAAAATATTCCCAACAATCTCCCCCTTGGTGTTCAATCGTGTTCAATCAGCATTGCAGCGCAGATATCTTTGTCTTTGTGTTTATTCAGCAATGTAGAGGAGAGCATAGATAAAATTTGTTGAGTTGCTACTCTTTTGTCTTGATCTTCAGTGGAACTGAGTTTCCTTTGTCTTCGTGTTGAACTCGACTTCTTTAGAGGGCTTTCTGAAGAAATCCTAGCAATCTCCCCTTTGATGTCTTCTTGGCAATTTGATCTTAGATGTCGGGGTTGAGGAATCTTCAGTGTCTTGCATGTAGTCGTTGCCTTCCAGAAGTAGCCCTCTTATCAGCTTGAATGAACTCCGGTGGTGCCTCTAGAATGATGGTTCTGATGGTTTCCAGGCGCGCACGGGATTCATCTTCAGTACGCGAGTATCTGACATTTGTCTCCTCCACAATGTAGTCTTTTTGACTATTTGAAATGAATGGTTTTGAGGAGAGCTAGTCGGTTGCACAGCGGAAAATGATAATTGACTTGTGAGCGTACCTGACCATTTGATGTGAAGCTGACTTTGTAGTTGATGCTTTGAGAGAATAGAGAGTTGTCATTTTTTGTGTTGGAGGAGAAGTGTCCAAGAATGATTTTTTAGAGTAAACAGCATGCGGACCACTCTCCCCCTCATGATGATCCGATGAATCGGGGCGTCATGCCTTTATTCTTTTATTCTGTGAAACAAAATAGAAAAAACAAAAAGGTAAACACCGGAGACATCATGGTGTTCCGTTATCACAACATCAATGTAAACTCTGACGTGTGACCTGTATAAAATGATTGAAGCATTAAAGCTCAAACAGGACTTCCAACCAGTCATTGTGAGGCATCTAAAGTAGATGTCACTCTGGTTGTTATGGCATGATCATAACGATCAGCAAAGATAACGTAGCCCCTCGGGGTCGTGTTGACGCCCGTTATCATCACTATAGAGATAAACTCTGAAGCGATGTCCTGAACATGTTGGTGAATTCCGTGTTGCAACAGCAGGACTTCCTTCCAATCGTTGGTCTTCATCTATAGTAGATGATCCCCATGGAAGTTCTCGCGGGTCATGAAGACCTGCAACTGACTCTAAAAAGTGTCTGTGTCCTAGAAAATTCAAAACATATGGCAGTGAGATTACTAGACACGACGTGATCAATGAATGTTCAGTGGCGTGGGGTTGTGGGCCACTGTAGTCAGTATCAGTCGCCTCAGAAGGAGACGGTGATTAGAGATGAGGTTCCCCGTGAAATATCATCAAACACATGTCTGTTGGGAGACATGTGAGTGGTCTTAGGTAGGGTTGTGCATGCGTCGTTTGGACAAAATGCAACGACTTCTACCCGGGATCTGAATAAATTCTGTCCTGAACCTATGGGGATTGTCCACGGTATTTGAGTGACCGGGAGTATCTCTCGATTGATAGCACAATAGAGGTAGCAGATTTGACAGTGATTATTGTTCTCTTGCTCACTTGAGCTTTCTGCTTCCTCACTCTCATAGTGTTCACTCAGTTACTCACTCACTCTCGG